GTGTGTCTTCCCTCTTCAGCTAAACCTTTGTGAAAACAGAGTCATAGTCACACCCACAGCTATGTTTCCATGGTGATTCTGAACCCCATCAGGTTAATTAGGATCTCATGTAGCTCAAACAGGCCTGGAACTTACTATGTGACCAATGCTAGCCTTGAACTTCTGAGTCTCCCTCCCTGCATCTAGCCTCCCAAATATTTGGACAATAGGCATGCCACCACCATGCCTGGCTTAATCATTTTTCTGTGTACATTAACAATGTTAAGTAAATAGTCTCCAGAATTCTTTTCATTTTACAAAGATGAGATTTTGTATTGATTAAATAATTCCCTACTGTCTCTTCTCTCAGCCCTTGGAAATTCTGTTATGCACTCTGTGTATGAATTTGACTACACCAGGTACCAGGTCTAAGTATAGTTGTTTAGTATTTTCTTTATACTAACTTATTTCATCTAGTGTAGTGTCTTGAAGATTCATTTATGTTGTAGCATGTGCCAGGATTTCCTTTCTTTTAAAAGTTGAATAATAACTTTGTTTGATATATCCCTTTTTTATATTTTTCTACCTGTCCATGGTGGATACTTGGGATGCTTCCAGCCTTTGACTGTTATGAGCAATAGTGCTGTGGACAAGAATGTGTAAGTATCTTTACAATTCCTGTCTTCAGCCAGGCATGGTGGCACATGCCTTCAGTCCCAGTACTTGCACTTGGGAGGCAGAGGCAGGGCGGATTCCTGTGAATTCCCAGCCTGGTTTACATAGTTCCAGGCCATCTGGGGCTACAGGGAGACCCTGTTGTCAAAAAGAACAAAAAGAAAGAAGAGAAAAGAAAAGAAAATTCCTGTCTTCAGTTCTTTTGGCTATGTGTAGTCAGACATGGAATTACTGGATCATATGGTAGTTTTGTTACTGTTTAAAAAAAAAAAAACACCATACTGTTTTCCATTGTGACTGCTTCATTTTACATCCCTACACAGTGCACAAGGGTTCCAGTCTCTTCACCTTTTCACTAACACCATCTTCTGTTTTGTTATTTTTTTAATAATCATCCTGAATATGAACTTTTAATAAATGGTGTATATCTGTGATACTTGTCAGGTGGGTGGATAAATAAGATACAGTATATTCATGCAGTGGAACATTATTTGGCAGTAAATCATGCACTGATACATAGCTGCAACACTTGAATAGACCTTGAAACATAGTGCTAAGTGAAAGAAGCCAGGCATAAAGGCCATGTATTACATGATTCCATTTATGTGAAATAGTCCAAAGAGATAAACACAGACAGCAAATGAGTGAATGGTTGCCATGGGCTGGGGACAGTGAAGAGGGGCTGCTGGGAAGGGCTGGTGGGTGGGATGCTTCTTTACACATAAATATGCGTTAACATTAGGCAGTGTAAGTATTGTTTCATTTTCTGTTTGAAGAATGTGTATAATTAAACAGTTTTTGTGAATTTTGAAATTATGAGGAAAAGTTTTTAGAACCTAATTGGGAGGAAAACAATTTAGAAAAAAACTTTATAGTTATTTTTTTTCCTAGTGGGAGATATTCTGTCACTTATTTTAATGTTAGGAGTACAACAAATCTAATGTAATTGTTTTAAAGTTATAGTTTTCATATGATTCACTGAGGGATTTATTTTGAAAACAATCATTAGAATTTCCCTTTGAATTTATTAATCCTATAAGCATTGGAAATGCGTGTTAAGTTTGGTAGTGGATGAAAATTCATGCTTTTTTTCTCCTTTAAAATTGTACGTATGTTCCATATGTTCCAAGTTACCATGTGATTGAAGAAGAAAATCTAATTCAGTTAATAGCTTGAATATGAACATTAACTAATTCTATATAAATCTAGTTTGGTTGTAATTCTAAAGCAGCTTGAGTTACGGTGCTTTGATGATTTTGCCATAAAACATCTGATAACAGAAATTTTATTGCATTTTATTAGATGATAGTTACTACCTTTTTTCTTTATGTTTTTTGGAGTTTTTCTTTTGTTATTTTTGGTTTTTGTTTTGTTTTGTTTTGTTTGAGACATGGTCTCACTCTGTAGCCCAGACTGGCTTGGAGCTCACTGTGTAGCCCAGGCTCGCCTTGAACTCCAGTGAGCTCCTGCCTTTCAGCCCCCTGAGTCTTGAGATTACACGTGTAAGCCTCCTTACTCAGCTTTTATTTATATTTTCAAGCATATTAATCCCATCTCATTGAAGTAACTTGCTATATTCTAACATCTGTTATAGAGCTAGAGGGAGGTAGTTTTCTCTTTATTTCCAACCACAAAGCTGTGTATTTGCTGTGTCCTGGACTTTCTGAGCAAAGGAAACTATTATTTTTCTTACTAGAATAAAGGAAGAAAGCCTGTACTTTTCTATTTTAAGATGTTGTCTGAATGTCTAATACATTTGTAGCTTATCGGGCCAGTAAGAAGTTGCTTGTAATAAAATACTGAGAAAATGGCAGTCTGCCCACTCAAACCCCAAAGACGTGCAGTTTACTTTGTATATTTGCTTGTTCAAAAGTTGAAACTTGATTTAGGAGAAGAAAAGTATTTGAGAGCTAAGTACTAAAGAGTTCCTATCTCTTCTTGATCCTTCTGTGAATTATTTAACATCACCGTTTTCAGCTCTTTACTTTTGTAAACACCTTTGTAAGTTGGAAATCTGAAAACGGAAACTTTGCCTTCAGAAGATAATGTTATTTTTAATTATTTAAGTTTGTGAGAAGTATCTTTTACTACTTCAGGTGTAGCATTTTTTGGGTCACTATAGGAGTACTTGTTAATGGTTGTACCGGTTAGTATCCCACAGGGACAGCATCAAAGAATCCAACAGCTCTGTCAACAGAAATGTGCTTGTACACTATTATGATTCAAAAAGTACTTTGAGGATTGGGCATTTTGCCCCCAAATATTCGCTTTGTTGTCTAGAGTAGTAAGAGATTTGGTGAAGCTACTTCAAAAAGAAAATAAGGGTTTTGCACTAAAAAATTGGAAAAATTCTAGTTCATTTATGTGATAAGAGCCCATCTCAATTAGAGGGTATTTTCCTCATTTCATTTACACATTTGACCCTTAAAAATATGATATTACTCACAAAAGATGCATTAGATTTTCTTAATTTCACAGTTACAAACTATTCTTCAAATTCTGATAGATTTTCTTGTAACTTTGTTTGGACTAGACAAACTCCAATCTTAATAGGCCTTAGAATCACAACAGTAAACTTAAAATTTCATTCTATTCCTCTTTCTTCCAGCTTTTGGGTAACCATATGGCAAAAGAACAAAATATGTCTCAGTGTGCTCATAAAACTTTGGAATAACTTTGTTAGGGAGCATTTCACAGTTGATCAGTCCTTTTCTGTTGATTGTGCCCCAAGTGATTATATTTTCATTTAATTCCTTTCCATTAAGAGAGTAACAACTTCACTTAAAATCTTCGAATCTTACCAATAGAGGAGATATAAATTGTTCAGAGAATGGGGAACAGAGTCATTCATTTTCTTTAAAACTACAGAAATGAGACAGCATTCTGATTTCCTCATTCTGGTGGCCTCACCTTCTCTTTAAGCTGCTTCAGAGAATGATAGAAATTATCTCTCTGAGTTAGAAAGTTGTTTAAAACATTTCTACAGGTTGCGGATGGGGGCTTGAGACAGGGTCTCCCTGTAGCTCCAGGTGGCCTGGAATTCACTGTGTATACCAGGCTGGCTTCTATCTCACAGAGACTGGCCTGCCTCTGCCCCCCAAATGTTGGAATTAAAAGCCTGAGTCACCATGCCTGGCTCATTTTTTAGAGATTTTTAATATATACTGAAATAGTAAATAGCTAAAACTTCAGCCTTTGAAATCCCTAGGGAGTTAATTTAACAGACTAATAGCAATAAAACAATTCATCCTGTGAAGTTTTTTTTTTTTAAACTTAAATCATGTACAGTGAAAATACAATTAATTTCATACCTTTCTCCTCAAACACAGAAGACTGGATATAACTGGTGATTTTCCTCCTAAACTTGCTTGATGATGTTGTATTATCATTTTGCTTGAATATAACAGTTAAATATAACAGCCTTTTTTTTGTTACTCTGACATTTATTGAACACTTACTGTAAGTCAAGCACTGCTCTCGGCATAAGGTTGATAGACTTGTGAACTACATAGTCTCAAACTGCAATGCTTTGAATTCTTGCCTGGTTTTTATGGTTTTTTGTTTTCCTTTTTGCCACTATTTAGCATAATGTTAAGGGCATGAATTTGGGAACCAGTCTTTTTTTAAAATTTGACTCCTGGCTTTTACTACTAATTATAGACATGTGACAATAGCCCATTAAACTCTTGTAGGAATAATGATTTTTAATATAACTAAATGGTTACTTCAGTTGTCTCCACAATAACCTCTTTGAATCACTTTTTACATCTGTAACTGTAGACAGTGATGTGTTTTACCTCATTGTAGTGAGGATTAAAAGAACACAGGTAGATTGAAATGGTGACATACTCCTCTAACCCTAGCACCTGGATGATGGAGGGAGGAGGAATAGGTGCTCAAGTTGGAGGCCAGCCTGGGGTACATTATTCTACTTCTAAACAAACAAATAATAAATGAATACATATAAAATGTTTAGAATAGTGCCTGGCATGTGGTGAAGGCTGTATCATGCAGTAGCCATTTCTACTGCCAGGAATGAATGTTTCTACGATTTGTCTCTGATTTCACAGTGTTTTTTGACCAGTTTGTGCTATCTTCTATTTAAAATTCCTCTAATCTGATAAAATTGATGACCATACCTTTTAGAACTAAGCGCACAATAAATTGCCTGTGAAACCAGAACTCTCATCTCCTGAAATCCAGTTGTACAAATGACATTGTATTTTGACAGCTGAGAACTTTTCTGTCCCAGACATAACCTTAAATGGGCTGTGCATATGAATGAGTCTTGAATAAGAAGAAAGATGAGTCAAAAATTGTTTTAATAAATAGGACTTCTTTTTTAGGGAAAAAGATCTTGAAGAAGCTCTGGAAGCAGGAGGTTGTGATCTTGAAACTTTGAGAAATATAATTCAAGGGAGACCATTACCAGCTGATTTAAGGGCCAAAGTTTGGAAGGTAACTAGAAATTTAAATAAGTAAAGTGTAATCAATTAAAAATACTTTTTATAAAATTTATTTTCAGCTCTGAAAATATTTTTATGAATATGCTGCATCTAGAAAATTTGTCAGTAATAAAATGTGTTACTGTAGTGCTTGCTATATTTAATAATAGTAGTTAAGATAGTAATATTTTATAGCTATTAGAAATGACTTTAATCTTTATAAAGTTTATTTAATGAAATGGGGAACTAGGTGGGAAAATACAAGCAGTAATTAAAATAGAATACATGCTAACATACGGAATGATAATAACCATAAAAAAAGGAATATGTCTCTGGGTGTTGGGGTTAGAGTTTTTCTTTGCTTTATGTTACTCTTTCAACTGTTGGTTTAGGGTATGTCAGAGTTTTGTTTGTTTTTATTTTGTTTTGTTTAAGATAGGATCTTGCTGGGTATCGCTGCCTAACTTGGACTTCTCCTTTGTCACCCTCCTGAGTGCTGGGATTGCAGGTGGCTACCGCCATGCCTGACAAATGAGTCTTATTATTTTTCATGAACATTCAGCAATCAAAGATGACTGTACTAGGTCTAAATAAGAATGGGTCCATTGGAAGAGGGACTTGGGGAGTCCTACCCTTCACTGCTGAACTATTTCCTATGGAGAAGTTCTGGGTAGGGTAAAGGGGAAATTAGGATCTTCCATTGTGTAGCCACTGGGAACCCCACTAGGCTCCAGTGGATAGTTTCAATCCAGTGGTCACAGAGATGCTCACACAACAAAACCGAAAGTCATAAATCTGAGAAAGGAGCAGGTAGGGAGTGGAGGCAGGGCTGATAGGGGTGGGAAGGAGTTGGATTTTTTCCTTAAAAAATTGAATTAAGATATGTTAGATATTTGTGAAAGCATGTAATATATAAGCACAATGGATAAAATAAATGTCATCTGCTATTACCAGTAGGTAAATCACATAAAATGCCTAGGCTATATCTTTTCATTTGTTCTCCTATGCTCATATATATTTAATAAAATGGAATTATAACTGTACATAGGTTCCTAAATGATCTCCTACAGAAATGTAAACAGAAGAATATATAAACTTGTACAGTGAACTGTCAAGTACCTGTAAGCCAGCTTTAACTATTACCGGCATCTGGCCAGTCTGTTTGACTGGTATTCCCATCCTGTCCTTCCTGCCCCTATGCTGGATTATTTTAAAGGAAGTCCTTGGTAGCACATTAAATACTTTAATATGAAAGTCTGAAAGATACCTTTAAAGTAACCACAAAACCATATAGACACTTAGAAGAAAATAATTTTTATGTTTTTATTAATGTCTGTTAATTATGCATGATAATGGTTTCAATGTGATTTCTCATACCTATATATTATGAATTCTAATCATACTCACCTATGCATTACCCTCTCTTGTCCCCTTCCCATTCCTGCTGATCCTGTTCCTCTTTACACCTAGTCCTCGGTCTATTTTCATGTCTTTTTTCCCTCCCATTTTCCTTTTCCTTGACAGGGGATGACCCAATGAGTTTTGTTAAAGTTACAAGAACATGAATAATCTTATCAGTGGCTACACATAATGAAGAAAATGTTCTTCCTTTCCCCATCAACCATTAGCTGTCTAAAAAGAGTAATTCTTTAGCGTCAAAAATAATTTATTCAGCTGTCTTATGTGTGTATTTTTTATAGGTGATGTGCTAAAATTCAAATTTATAAATTTTTGTTGGCTTGATTTATTATTATTATTTACTGTTATTATTATTATTATTTCATTTCTAAGATGCTGATAATCCTCAGGAGCATATTTATATTGCAGTAGGAGGCATAATAACTAAAATCTAGAACTATGACATTGAAAATTTTTTAATTTTTTATTGTATATGAATGTGTGTGTGTGTGTGTGTGTGTGTGTGTGTGTGTGTGTGTGTGTGCGCGCCGCGCATCATCTCTGTGCAATGCTGGTAGAGGTAAGAAGAGGGCATTAGCTCTGTGGAAGTGGAATTACAGGTGGTTGTTAGTGCTGAGAACCAAACCTGGGTCCTCTGCAAGAGTAGCCAGTGTTCTTAACTTCTGAGCCATCTCTCCAACATATTTTGTTTTTGAGAGAGGGTCTTACCATGTAGCACTGGCTGGCTATGTAGACCAGGTTGGCCTCAAGATCCACTAGCCTTTGCCTCTTGAGTGGTGGGATTAAAGGCACGGACCACCATGCCCAGCCTGAAATTCAAATTCTAGAGGACCTACTGTTGCATTTGTTTGATTTGTCATTTGAGTCTTAATTAAAAGAATGATAATTTTGGTTGAGGGTATAGTTCAGTAGTAGGGTGCTTGCCCAGCATGTGCAAGGTCCCTAGGTTCAATCCCTAGCACTGCCCAAAAAGTGAAATTTAAAAATACTGTTTTTATTATACATACTTTAAAAAAACTTACAAAAATAATAATATTTTCTCAATTCATTAAGTTTTATTGTTGTTGGCTTTTTTGTTTGTTTTGAGACAGGGTCTGCCTGTACCCTAGCTGGCCTGGAACTCACTATGTAGACCAGGCTGGCCTGGAATTCATGGAGATCTACCTGCCTCTGCCTCCAAAATGCTAGGAATAAAGGTGTGTGCTACCACACCTAGCTCTTTTGTAAAAATTTTAAATTGTACATGGCATAGGTATATGTTTTCCTTTGGCAATATTATGTTCTTAGTTTTTACATTTCAAAAAACAGACGTCTTGAAGTCGTGTGTAAATATACAAATATTTTGTGTAATTTGTTCTACCCACTGAATCAGCATGAAGTAGGAAAATCTAATGTAGGAGCATTTAAGATAATTCTGTTGGTTATGTGGCTAGGGTTTGGTGTTTGGTGGAGTGTAGATTCTTTACTTTGTAGTCTTTTGTTATTATTCCTTAATTCTTGCTTTCCTTAATTTAGCATATTTTCCAAAGCAAAATAACAAATGACACTAGCTGCTTTTGAAAATCTTTCTTCCAGATTGCTCTGAATGTTGCAGGAAAAGGCGATAGTTTGGCATCGTGGGATGGAATTTTAGACTTGCCGGAGCAGGACACTATTCATAAAGAGTGCCTGGAGTTTATTGGTGAGTTTTATAATTGTTACTCCAACAGCTATCAAAGTGCCTGAAAACAAATCCTGAGTCCATCAGTCTCGAATCCAGCCTTGGCAGACAAGAGAAAAATGAGGAGGAATGCAATAGAAGGATGCTTTTGATTCCCTGTCTAGAACTTATGCTAACGATTCTTGCCTTTACTTCTCTTTCACATCTCCTAGGCAACAGTCAAGGACTTTCTTTTCTCCCTAAAAAAAAGTTATGCAATTTGGGAGTCTTTTAGATACTCTTTTAGACCCACTGAAGGGTACCCCAAATGCCTCACCCTACATCTCTGTTCAGCAAGTGTGCTGGATAGCTTTACTGTCAACTTGACACACCGGGGTTGAGGGAGCCTCAATTGGGGAAGTGCTTCCATTGGACTGGCCTGTGGCCATGTCTGTGGGTCATCTTCTTGATTGTTGAGTAGTGTGGGAGGGTTGAGCCCACTGTGGGTGGTGCCACCCCTGGGCAGGTGGGCCTATGTTGTATAAGAAAGCAGGCTGAGCAGGGGCCAGAGGAGCAAGCCAGTAAGCAGTGTTCCTCCATGGCCTGTGCTCCAGCTCCTGCCTCCAGGTTCCTGCCCTGAGTTCCTACCTTGGGCTCCCTGATGGACTGTGACCCGGGATATATAAGATAAAATAAACCCTTTCCTCCCCAAGTTTGTATTGGTTAGAGTATTTTGTCACAGCAATGAAGAACAAACTAGGACAGCATGGAAGAAGCCAGAGTGGTCTGTATCCCGATTCCCTATTGGCAAGTTGGGTAACCTCTTCAGAGGATGCTGTGATAAGAATAGGAGGTAGAACAGCTGAGAGTGGTGGCGCATGCCTTTAGTCCCAGCACTTGGAAGGACTCTGGGATCTCTGTGAGTTTGAAGTCAGCATGGTCTACATAGTGAGTTCCAGGCCAGCTGGGGCAACAGGGAGACCCTGTCTCAAAAAGACCAAAAAAAAAAAAAAAAAAAAAAGAATAGATAGGAGGTAGGAATTGGCTAGGCAGTTAGGGTTAAAAAAAACAAAGAAAAGTAGCCAGTTTCTTAGCTAAAAGTCAAAATGCCCTTGGGCCTCTTAGCAACATACTCTGTTCCAAAGACCAAAAATGTCAAAAGTATGGGCATGGTAGCACATGCCTTTAAACCCAGCAGCTGTGAGGCAGAGGCAGGCAGATCTCTGTGAGTTTGAGGCCAGCCTGGTCTACAAAGTGAGTTCCAGGCCAGCCGGGGCTACAGGAAGACTCTTGTCTCAAACAAACAACAAAAAAGTCAG